CACACCGCACACCGCACACCTCACACCGCACACCGCACACCGCACACCTCACACCGCACACCTCACACCGCACACCTCACACCGCACACCTCACACCTCACACCGCACACCTCACACCTCACACCGCACACCCCACACCCCACACCACTCACCTCACGCCTCACACCGCACACCTCACCCCTCACACCGCACACCTCACGCCTCACATCTCACACGCCTCGGCTCGTTCCTTGCGCCCGGTGTCAGGGCAGGGTCAAGCCGGAATGGGACCCTTGGTTGTTTCTTACCCCGCCACCCTTGGCACTTCGTCACACATGGGAGCTGGGTAAACACGGGCCACCGTGCAGCTTCAGCTCTGTGAATGGGACTATTCCGCTTTAAAACCAGTTCGTTGTTCCGAGAGCGGCCAGAACGCCAAAGCATGAATGTTTTAAAGAGGAAAGGGAATAATCGATAGCATTGTGATAGGTGTCACAGGAAGGTGGTGTAGCAYGGGGATGTAGTTTACTTTCTGGCCCGTCAAAAATGCTCGGTGTTGGTATGCACTGGAACAGCTTCTCACACTGGCCAAAGCAATCCACCAATTTAGAGAATATAAATATTCCAGTCTTAGAGCCTGATCATAYTGGCATTAAAATCTAGTTTTATAATAGAAGATCTCGTCTATCTGTGAAATATAGACGAGGTTGAGGTGATAGACAACTGGCTTCTGCAGAGAAGAAATTAACAATCACTGTAACTGCAATTTACATGAAATCTCAAGACTAACAGTTGCTGTCCAGCACAAGGGCTTTCGCCTAGATGGCTTTTACTTCAAGGGCTTTCATGATCAACAGCCTAATTACTTAAAACTGTTTTCTTCGGTTGTGCAAAATCAAGGGGTCAGAGAGCACATACTTTGCTCTAGAGGGAATAAACAATTGGTGTGTCAAGGAATACCCTCCTCTGGCTGAAGTTAGCTCAGTGGAAAAGTATGCTGAAGGTTTGGCGAGAAAGTTGAATGATATGATGTGGAGGAATAAAGGAAGTTTGTTTGTTAAAGTARGCTACAGAGAATTCCTAGCTCACCACTACAGGCAATTTGCCCCTGAGGTATGCTGTAGAAAATTCCTAGCATCAACAGTATATGGCAGATGAGCAATCTGGGCATAATTAGTAAAAGTGAAGCGTGGCAGTATCAAAAATCTATCAGTCAGCACTGAGAGCCTTTCCCCCTCCCCTCCCCACCATTCTGTTGATAATGCTCAAGATGAAGCTTGCTGAAACTTTGAAAGTCGGGATTAAGTCTTTAAAATTTTATTTTATTTCAGRTGAAAATTTGCAGTCATCCCARAAAATGTGGTAGAAGAATGTGCATCTACAGAACAAAAGTAAGTAGAATGGCCAAGAGTTGCACACCACATCAGCTGTTACACATGTGGCTTTTGTCGCTTTCAGGATATAAAGTGTAAGTTAAGAAAGCCTATTTAATGTAGACAAACAAAAAAACTATTCTAGATTATTAAGCCCAGCATTTTGTACTATATAATTAATTTACTACAACAATATGTGGACATAGCAGATATTTATTTGATTAAATATTCATTCATTTGACATCAGGTCTCAAAGGATGACACTGTTCTTATGAAGTTGTATATTCTTTGGGTGTGTTTGTTATGTTGTTATCCRCAGAAAGAGGGCTTCACTGAAAGGTGTGGTACAGTTTGAAGGAGAGGGAGAAATGCCAATTTTAATAGYCATTTTTACAGATCTGCATATAATCATCTCTGTGACTTTTAGTATTCCTCATCTTTTGACTACAGTGTAACTTTAACTGATGTACCCATCGGAATGCTTTTTCTCTGTCAGTTTATTGTGTGCTTGAGTTGTGGAACTGCAGCTGGTATTGCAGTCTTACTAAGGAAGTCCTGGGCAATTGGTGAGGCCTACATTTCTTCCCAATCAATTGCCTTTGTTGCTTGTGTTTTGTTGCTGGTGTGTTCCTTGGGAATTTTTTTTAGAAGCCCTGTTTGCAAAAGTGGCAGATTGGTAGATTTTTTTCAGAAGCCCRATGTCTTTTTGGGTCTGTCTCCATCCCTACTCTCTCAGAGCATAGGTATGAAGTTTCTGTTAGCACAGAGAAGTTTAACAGCTGCCTTAGGCTGCACAGACATCTGAAAATATTTTTCTAGGTTTAGGAATTCACAGTTGAGTCTTCTCCATCTGACTTGAAGTTCTTAGATAGCAAACAATGTAATGSCTGGGACCAGAACTAGGTGAAAAGCATTTCGGTCTGCTGGCCCAAATAATTTTAAGGGTGTACAGATGGTGAAATAAGGCCAGCATGCATTTTTCATGATTAAGAGCAGCTCAACTGAAAATACTACTTAATGTTCACAATTGTATACTTCATCTTCTTTATCACAAAGGCATTGTTTTGTTTTTTTTTTTCCTGACAGTAAATTCACGTCCACCTAGCAATGCATCTCTCTGTCCCAAGTGTATTCCCATTCCAGGTTGTGTTAAAGCTCCTGTTGGAGCCCTACTGCAGTGCCACAGCTAGAGGAGCACAAGCTGCAGAACCAGGAAATGAACAAAATTTTTATTTTTTTTTTAAGTGGATGGGGTAAAATTTAGGTTGTGTTTTTATTAGTAATTAGTGTCATATTAGCAACTAGCACTCCTTGTAAGGTAGCTCTTGGACATATATCCAGCATGACTTTTCCCAAGATAATTAACAGTTTTAGCAGAGARTTCTAGGAAAGCAGATTAGGCAAAAATCTTGGGCCAAGAAGAGATGTAGTGAYTTACAGAAGGGAGTACAGGGAGCCTGCAGTAGCTGTAGCTCATCTTGTCGTGCCTTGACCATAAATGGCATTGTTCATCTGTATGTGACACTGTGGATTCATTTGGGTTTATAAGGGAAAAGTAAGCCCCTARAGAACAATGTCCCTCCTATGCTTCATTTGTGTTTGACATAAGGATTGACAAGAACAGCAGAGATAAGTTTTTTGAGAAATAAAGTCAATGTAGCAGTGGACAGGAACCAGCCATTAGGAATCCACCTCCTGGTCCCTTTGTCAGCCTGTATTTAGCCCATCTGTTGGTTTTGTGTTGCCACCTAACAAATTTTGGCATGGGAATATGGTGGAGGAAGGATGGTGAGGGGGCTGGGTGGARAAGATGAAGGCAAGAGCCAGAACACTGCTGTGTTTCCATTGTTCTTGTTTGAAGAATGACTCTTTGGAGGCTCAGCAATAATCTTGAGACTGCTGTAATACACCCTGGAGGCCTGGAAATTAGGATGCTTGGAGGACTTTTTWGGATATCTTTACTTTCTCTGATTCCTCATGTGCTTGAATAGAGTYAGGAGGAGAACTTTACTAACTTTTTTTTTTTTAACACAGAATTTGGCTGTTTTTCTAGGATTCTTTATAACATGGAATACCGCTGGATGTAAATCCATAGAAAAATACTTAGCATGCACTAAAGCACTACAGATATTAATTAATCTTCATCATTATCTTATGAAGTAGACAGTAAGGCCTACTGTTTGGTATACATTGTACTTGATAGTTGTATTTTATACACTAAGAGTCTAAATGATCAGTTGGGTACTGCTTTTTAATGGGCAGATTAACATTAAGTACTTAAAACCGTAACAGGTGAATGCATGTTTTTAAAGCACAAAGTCATGTGGAGATATTTGTATTACAGTGYTCCCATGGAGTTCTTCTGTTCTGTTGTGTGAGTTCCCATGGAGTTCTTCTGTTCTGTTTCCTTGTGTGTGGGTTATTGATGCAAGAAAAAAACATAGTGGCCCCTTTGGAGTTCCTGTAGTCATTCATATGAATCCAGTGTCTGTGCATGTCAAATGAGTGTCAGTGCTTTACAAAAGCCATACTTTATTTTTTGTTGAAAGCAGCTTGTATTCACCAGCTTTGACTCTTCACAGTTTTCATTTTACTTTGAAAGCTTTAGGAAAAACAAGAAAAATTAGATAAAATTCAGGTGAAATTTATCTTGGCTACTGGACAATAGTAATTAATATTTCATAAGGATATTTCCCTCAATAAATAAGCATTATTTCATCTGTAAGCCAGAGGATTTTTTCCCTTGAAATTTTAATTGTAGATTTCTCCTTAATGTATAGATATGTGTAGTTTCAGTTCTTGAATATTTGAGGACTGTAGAGTAAAATGTAAATAACGGCAGACTTTTACCTTTACCAAAGTGTGAGAACAGCAGATCTATAAGCAACTTTGTAAGTTCCATAAAATGGTTTTGTGGTGTATATTCAGCAGAATAGTGTGTAAATCATAGATTAGGGAAAACGTGGCTCTCCAGATACAGCCCTGGCAGACCAGCATTTCTGGAAAAMTTTTGGTATGAAATCTTCCCATTTCGTGCATGCAGAGTGTAGTAAAAATGTTGTGTCATTCTTGGTGTGTGTGATAATTTGCWATGAAAATTGTTACAGTGAATAATGTTGAAGGCCTAGTAAAAATTACATTTCCTTGTTGCAARTAAAGATATTCCACCCCTATACCATCTCAGATTGAATTATATCTAAGTCTACACACTAAGCATATGTCTTAATGCCATCTACAGACTGCTGAGATTGGAAGGCTTTGGCTCTGTTAAAGCTCTGGCTCCAAAAGACCAAAGTCTGAGTGAAAGCAGAAAGTGAATATGCTGATAGTTATTGAGCTGATATCTTCATTCATGCCAGCCRAGGGAAGGCAAGATAATTATAAAGTCAAATCCATTTGACCAAGTTAAGGTCAGAAAGAAACATACACATGAGGCAGACATTCATAGGCTGATGGAAGTTTTCATAAAAAAATAATAATTAAAATTTACATTACTAAGTTGGCCCATCSTGAGTGTGTTATTAAGAAAAAGGATCCTGGACAGCTCCTTACTGCTTCAGTCTGACTAACCTATTTATTTCCCTGGGGTTAGGTGAGTAAAAGAYTTCCTTCAAAGCATTTGGGGCTGGTGACAATTGGCACAAACAGCATTTTGACACTCCAGTCCCCATCAGGCTTTTCAAATTCTGACATCCTATAGAAGAAGGAATCTATCAGCATTTAAAAGAAAATCTTACAAATTTCCTGAGAGCCGTCACACCTTCTAGTGATGAATCACAGTGCTTTACATTTGCCTGCCTGGAAAGCCAGGGACACTTCTGAATGCACCCTAATTATAGGGTAAGGCCCATACATATTTCCTATTTTCATGTCTGCACTGGATAAAGACCACCTTGACTGATGCTGTTTTGCAATAAAGAAGCAATGTATTTTTCAGTGTATGAAAATCAGGATTGCCAAAGACTCCTGTGGAGTAGCTTTGTAGCACCTTGCTTTTTCACTAGGAACATAATAAGCTCTACTTATCCACTCCCTTCATGCTACAGGAGCHCTAAATTCCCACAAAGGGGCAGGAAAGTCAAGTCAGGACCCTATCATGATAAATCACCCCTGCAAATAACTGGGCAGGGCTGATCTTCCCCAGCCCTGACTCTTGAGCGTGCTGGGCAGTCTCTACAATAGAAAAARGTATTGCAGCTCCCATCAGTTCTTTTGTGCCCTGATCAGTGGGACTTGTTCCCATAGTGCAACTTGTGTCCAGTGTTTCCAGTTGCAGCAGGAGAATGGAACTACTAACCCATGGTGGTGGTAAGGGCTGGGAGTGGAGGACGGTCCCAGCTGAAGACCTTACAGATATTTGGTCTGTTACCTCCTGTGCTGGAGCAGTCACATCCAAGAGGGGAGCCTGAGTGGTGAGGTCTTAAATAATTGCAGCTAAAGCCACAAAAGATGGAAAGTCAGGCCCTGGAAACACACTGGCAAAACTCAAGACAAGAAAGGGTTGGATCCTCAGGGCAAGCTGAGACCTTCTGTTTGTCATTCAGCATGTTGAAGTGTTCCTCTGAAATATAGGGGTGGTGAAGTGGTGCAAACCTAGAAATGAGCTGCTTTAATGTTACAGTGATTTTTGTCATCCCTGTCTGTGTGATGTCAAGATGTGACTATCTTCAAGCAGCTCTTCTAGTATCACTGGCCAGGAAAGAAGTTATGATTAGCAGGTGTGAGACCAGTTTGATTTTAGTCTTGTCCCATGATTTCAACAACAAACTCTTTAAAGTGTTTTAGTGTCTCCAACTGGAGTTGAGCTGAAATGATGTTCCTGTGTTCTGTCCAACACTGTTGAGAATGTGTAGGGAGAGGACTATGCTATCACAGAATAAATAATAACATGGTGCTAACTTCAAAACAGCAGAAAAAAATATGCCAATGAAGTTGCTTCCACTCATCTAACATCAAAAGATGACTTTACTTTGTACTGTATCCATGATCTTGAAAGCCATGAAAAAATCTCTCACGGG